GGGGGCTTTTTGGGAAGAAGGTACATCCGGTAGCCGCTAGTTCTTGCCCGTCACTTAATTAAGGTCTTCTCCGAGATGGCGATGCGAGCTTCGAAGTGAAATCAGCTCTGATCTTGGAAGGGTTTGGAGCAGAAGCACATACTCGCAGACGTTCTGTGAGCGCCCAAGAAAACCAGATACCATAAGTGTCAAGGCACGGAGGATTCCAAGCAGCACCGCGTGCTTCTCTTGGGGATTCAGCTCCAGAGATCCCGGCAGGAGCGACTGGGCGCAGAGGGCTTCGGGTTGGAGTTCAATGCAAAACATATCGTTGGGAAGCAGCATCGAAGCTTCTGACAACACCGCTGCCTACGTAACCACAAGCCGCTGCAAGCCTCCCCCACCAACTGCTGTAGCCACCAGCTTCAGCCCCGAACCGTGACAAGTTTCTGCATGCAATCAGGCGCATAAACCTACCTCCTCTACCAAATCATTAGGGCTGCAGGATCATAGGTTGCTTTGCCGAGACCCTACACCTTCCCCTAGCTGTTCCCCGCATGGCCTAACATACCATGCGGCTGTCTGCAATAATGTAGATGTCAGCGCCTGCAAACTGGTGCCGTTGACCAACTCCTCCACCAGGAACAACACTTCCTGAGCCACTTGGCCAAAAAGGGGCCGCCGGGTAGGTGCTTGTGTGAACACATGCTCAGGAGCATGAATCGCGAGACCTGTATTGGCCTCGATGTTAATACACCAACCTGCACAGGAAAGCCTTCCAGACGCAGTGAAGCCCTTAATTTCATGACGTCACCGGCGATGAAAGTTCGCCTTCGACAGAAACACAAGACTAGTTGAAAATCTGTATCGGCCATGTGCCCTCGCAGCCTGAACTAGAGCGTAAGCAGTCAATGCACACTGCAGCAAGTATGCATGAATGAATCACATAGCTTACAAGATAAACCGAAAGGTTAAGAGCGACGGGTCGTGAGCTGTTCGGGCACGGCCTGTTCGCAAGCTACTTCCGGCTCTACGTGCATCGGTGAAAATTGAGTCATGATGGTAACGATGGCCATGACAGCGATGACGGTGATGACATGGATGATGGCCTTGGTGAAGACGAGCTGCTGCACTAGTTTCTCCATCTCGCTTGCGCTGTATTGTCCTACACTCTGCATGTCATGTTGTTGCTTCCTTGTCATTAAGGTCATCATCATCATCATCCGTTCTGCCTTCTGCCTCAACGAGCTCGGTTCCGTCTAACTGCACACTACGTGCGCCGGCTCCAAGCCAGTTCGCCGGTCTGAACACAGCTTCTGGCCACCTACTGTAGGGAATGTATGCGTGCAATCTTGGAGAGTGCAATGCCGAGCATCTGCATGTGGCAGGATACAGGCGCCTGGCGAAACAAATGCGGTTCGCACACTGCTGGCAACTGCTTGTCCCTTGGGGCAAAGCTGAAGGAATCGATGTGCGATCGCTAAATGAGGCTGCACGAATCGGCGGGGGCTACAGTTGAATAGCCTTGTTTACTTGTGCAGATCTCAGGCCCTGCCAGGTTGGAAGAGCAATAGGTGCTGCTGTTCACGATGATTGTCGTTCAATATCACCATTATTTTAACTGGAGGAAAGATCAATGGTTGTGAATCTCTTTGCCGTCTCAAGTTCTCGTCACCACACTTGCTCTTCTGACCGCGGCACTGATAACTATCATAGCTACATTGTTTAAATGCTTGGTGCTATTGATTACCATCACTCCTTTTGGTTCCTGCATCAGTTTTCTCTGGTAAGTGGTACCAGTCTTGCAACTGCTTCTTGTGCTCTTGCTGTACTAACCTTGCCGCTATCGGTTGGAATGGCTAGTCTGAGCATCCATGTTGTGCTGTTGCTGCGAGCGATGCTGCTCATGTATTCAATCGCCCAACGCTAACTCTTGCAGTTTCGCAAAATGTACTTGCATCAGCGCAAGTATTGCTACTACTGCTACGGGCCCCCGGCCCCGGAACCGAACATGTTCTTCCTCCTGTGGTCTCTGTGTTTACAAATTCGACAGTTGCTTGTACTAGGCACCTTCTTGGCAGTTCCGATGTAGTGCTTCGCCTGTTGTCGTCTTGCTCCAGGTGACATGCATGCATGTTATTCTGTAAACACCGCATTTCGAGCAACTTCTCAATTTGTTCCTTGCAGTATCTCGAAAGTGGAATCCTGTCGTGTAGGAGAAGGCAACGCATTGTCACTATCTGTTTCTGCTTGTTGTTAGAAGAAGCATTATGGTAACCATTGTTGCAACCTCTTGCCACAACAAATACCAGAAGCAAAGTGTAATCATGCCTTCAACGGCGAAACTACACAGAACAACTGCCAAACATATGCACAGGATGGAGTGCGGCAAAACATCATGCTCGTTGCACTGGCTGTCGGCGCAAGTACTGCCTTGAAACGCAACGATGTGAGGATGACGGACCCGCCGGAGAAATCGTAGCCTGAAACGAGCCACTTGTTTGTAGCTGTGACGAACATGTAGTGTGTAGTCATTCCAGTCGACAGGAACTTTTCAAACGCACAACGAGCAACCGCCCCAGAAAATATGTATGGCTAGGTCTACTAAAGCAATAAGGAATGAAACGTAATCCCAAGTCGGTGCCTAGTAAAGCACGTAAAGCACATCTTATGCTACAACTCGTGGGACATGGGTGGAGTACAGGGGATCACATGGCACCCTTTAACAAACTGCATTGCGCAGCTCCGTCCCACACCGCTTCAATGCTTTCACGAATCCAATCCGTCAGGACTGAGAAACCCAGCAGCACACGAAAACGACAAACAAGAGCAAAACTCGCAGCAACACAACGAGAATGCTTCGTACACCTGCCGGCCCAGCAGCTCGTTTGCCAAATCAGGCAAGGACAAGGAGGCATTCGCCAGAGGCAGCTTTACCGCAACTGGCATCCCGAGCAGATCCCCGGCAAGTATCACCTGGTCAAAGGCGCTTCGAGTGAACGACATCTACGGCCCATGCCGGTGCGAAGGCCCTTGATTTTCCCGAGCAATGCCGCCCAGCACCATGCAAACACAAAATATTAACTGGGCCACTTGGGATCCGTGAGCATCATGCGGCGGAATTCTCCAACCATAGCACCCAGGCGCAGCTATGACACATCGACGCAACACTCGATACACCGAACTGGCGACTACAGTAGATACCCAGCATCGAGAAGTACACACTACTGCACACACATCGAACCCGAATCTGGCCGGATGGCGAAGTCATCTTCTCCTATCGGATCCTATCGCGACTTCATGCTTACGAGTCCCTCTATCTGTGCCTGGCTTTAGCCGAGCCGTCGCTCGTAGCCGCAACCGAGAGGCTCCGTAGTTTCCGCGCCCGATCAGGTTCTTCGGGTTGAAACTGAGCTGTCTGGCCTCGCCATTGCTTCGTCTCAGCTGGTCTCTTTATAACATCCATTTCAGCTCACTCAGCCGTGCAACTTCGCTCTGAAAGGTTCATTCATGGACCACAACTTTCACACCTGCCCGTTTTCACCGTTTCTGGCGGCCCTCCACATGGATTCCTGGTCTGGCAGGCCTCGATAAGCCAGTGCTCCTGCAACATCTGGAGAAAGACGGAGGGCTGAAGGCCACAAACTCCAAGCATGACAAAAGGTAAACCTGGGTCGACAGATGCGAGACAGAGAGAGAATGAGTGAGTGATTGAGTGAGTGAGTTAAAGAGAGAACAACAGCAATGAAGAGAAACATCGCTTGCGGATTCACTTGTGCATGTTATGTTCATACAAGCGACGAAAAATCTGTGGGAACAATCGTGGAAGCTGTCCGCATGTTGTAGCCGAAGCCCCGGGCTTCATGCATGCATATACACATACACACACAAACACATAAATATACACACACACATACATACATACATACATACATACAGACATACAGACATACAGACATACAGACATACAGATATACAGACATACATACATACGTACGTACATACATGCATACAAACATCCATCCATGCATAAACTTGTACATAGATGTATAGATGTAAGAATGTATGTATGTATGGATGTGTATGTATGTTTGCACATTGTAAAGCAAGAGCTCGAAAACTTGCACTGGCGTAAGTATCCACAAATTCATACATACATGTATACAGGCAGACAGGCAGACAGACAGACAACCAACCAACCAACGAAACAGACAAACCCATAAATGACACATATATATATATATAATACACACACACACATACATCTCTGTGTGTGTACGTGTGTATTTACGTACATACATGCATGCATGCATGCATGTGTATATATATATATATATGCCAACATTATCAATAATCCATCCATCCATCCATCCATCCGTCCATGCATGCACATCTTATATACAATATGTATATAGCGAGCACAAGAAGAGGAAAACACGCTGGAGGCTCGCTGTTTCATCCGTTGGACAGACCCCGTCCTGATAGCCAAGCGCCACCATGTGCTCAAGCTGTTCTCTGCAGTCCGTTTTCATGTCGAAGACAAACTGCGTGAAGCCCGTCTGACCTGCAAGGCTAGGAAAAGAAACGATGCAACATAGGACACTGTCGGGGTTCACCAGCTGGGGCGTCATCCGTGCTGATCAGGCATCACTCGGCTGCAGATTCTTAGACATGCACCAAACAGCTGCACACACCTCCCTGCACGCGCTTGAAGAACCCGCGTGGCTAAATGCACTTCTTTCGCCGACTTGCGTCCAAGCAGCCCGTTGTGTCCTTGGCAACCGACCAGAGTATTTAGCAGCATTTAGCAGCCATGTCACATAGACATAGATTTAGTTCCCCCGACACGGAACCTGCATCGATGCCAAGGCATAATTTCATGTTGCTGGGATGCACACATTCCAATGCCGCTAGTCTTGGGGCTGCCCTCCCTGCAGATTCTGGCTAACAATGCAGCTAAGCAGCGGTGACCTCAGCAAGCAGCAGTGCTAATGGATTGTCCAGCCCACATCGCGCACCACACGGTGGGTGGGTGGAGCAAAGGCAGATTGTAGGCAGCATGACGGAGAGGAAGAGACAGTGCGAGCGAGAAAGATAAGGAGTGTGCATGCTAGAAAGACACAGGGAGGGAGGGGGAGAGAGAGAGAGAGAGAGAGATAGAGATAGAGATAGAGATAGAGATAGAGATAGAGATAGAGATAGAGGGAGACAGGGCGGGAGAGCGAGAGAAAGAGAGCGAGACAGAGAGAGAGAGAGAGAGAGAGAGAGAGCGACAGCGAGAGCGAGAGAGACAGCGAAAGAGCGAGAGCGACAGCGAGTGACGAAGAAAAGGAGAACAGCTCCCGAAATCAGAGGAAGCTTCCTTTCCTTTGCCACGGTGTACACTTGCGTCTCGTCGCCCCAAGTGCAGCAAGGCGGCCATGGACTGCAGGTCTGCAGCCCGTCGGTTAGGACTCGATCTTCCAGAAGACAGCGAGCTCTGGGCCTGGATCAGAGGGGCCCTCGCACTCTGCAAAGCCACTGTGCCAAAGACTGCCGGAGACCGAAACCGAGGCCGCATCATTCTGAAGTACAAGGAAACTCCGCCATCCGGAGCAGTTGGTTGCCGAGGCTTATGAGAAGAGAACATGGGGGACACCGGGACACCATGTCAGTGAGTTATCCTACGATTTCTCTTCGAGGATACGGGACCACTTCAGCCGAAGGTCTGCAACAACCGGCACATCCCTCGTCCAGTTCCCAACAACCACAACGCCACCCTGGGGCCTTGCTACTAATTTTGCACTACTGTAGTCACTGTAGTTGGCGAAGCCGTGCTCCGATCGCATCAGGCCTGCTCCAGCTTGAAGTCGCTCTCAAAGCGTGCGACCCTGCAAAGTCATGCCACCATGAAACGGAGGTTTGTGCTGACTGCAATTGCGACCGAATTAAGACAAGGCCCGAGGTGAGCGACGACAAGATTTGAATCGACAGGCGTGCCTGGTGAACCCCGAGCCCCTAAGCCCAAATCCGGAGTCTAGCTTTGAAGCCAGACGGCCAGACGGCGTCCATAAGCGCTTGGCGCATCCCGCATCTCCGCTAACCCTCGAGTCGCGAGCATTCGTAGCAATAATATCCACCTCCCGTGTATGCAATCGCCTCTCGGAGATCAGCTGCAAGCGCTGTTGGCGCTCATGATTCTCCAACTGCCGCTTGGCCAGTGATGCCAGGGCCGTGACCTCGGTTTTCCCCCTGAATCAGTTCCATGGCATGCACATGGGCCGGAAGCGACGAAGGCAAACAGTGACGTAATGGAACATTCAAACAAGCTGGCATAGCCATGGTGAGCTCCTCTCGGCTGTCATTTCACGAGAACAATCATACTCTGAGTTGACATTGCTTGCCGACGCCAACAACACAATGCACCAACTCAGACCCGCTGGGTACGATTTACATTGCTTGTCGCACCTTCCAACCAGTCGACAAACAGTACATATTCACCAGCCAAGCGACGCCACCGAAGAGCGCCAAGTTCATAGGGACATTGAAAATGCCTCCGTCGAGTTAGGACAGAACAACCGATCGGTAAGACTGTCCGTTCGCCGGCTTGGCTAGATTGCAACACGGATACGAACAGAGGATACGGTGACGTCATGTCATCAGCAAGACGGAACACACACACACACACAGAGAAACACAGACACACAGTGACACACACACACACAGACAGACAGAGACATGCCGACGAAGGCACGTGGATGATCATGGATGGGCGGCGGATGGCGAGATGCAAAGTTAAAGACAGAGACAGGACAGATGGCTGGACAAAGAGCGAGGGAGTTTTGCGCCAGACATCGACCTCACTGCAAGGCAAAGCCTGTCAGGATGCCCGCCTTTTCAACGCGGTCTCGCGGTGACTCCCTGGCCTCTTATAGAAAGAACAGGGTCCGCTGAAGGCGTGGCCTTGGTGGCTTCTTGATCACATTGCCGCAGAAGGCCGCAATCTTCGTGGCATACAGGACAGGAGCCGGCACACGCACAGCGTTGGGAACATTATAGTACATAAGGCAGAGCCGGTTTGTAAGGTTCTCGATCAGCTGCAGGGACAACTCAGCTTGATTGATCAATACCGTATAGTGCGTTGGGACAGCGCTCCCCTTGGCAATGGCCTGGCTGAGCAAGAAGAACTCAGGGGTGGGACCAGGACAAACTACAGGGTCATCCACAACAGTACCTGGCTCAGGGTTTCTGATGTTCTCCTTGTCACCCTTGAAGATCCGCATGTCAGTCTTCCTGGCGATGCCGATAACCACAACTTTGGGTGAGTATCCTTTCTGAAGTTTGGCAGCTGCAGTCACTACTTGCAGCAGCGCTTGCATCTCTATCGCATCAACCAAGGGCCATTCCTCCTGGTTGACCGATGCACGGTACACAACAATGGTTTCCGGCAAGATGCCATCGTTGCAGTCTGTAAAAGCATTGAGCGCATCACGGAAGATGCGCTGAAGTTCAACTGACAAGCTGGTCCTCCACCGCTGCACGGATCCCTTCTCCAACTCGGCTGCCATGGAGTAGTACTGCGAGAATACCTTGTCCAAAGTCGCGGAGATTCCGAGCCAACGCGCCCCTTCGAAGGTGAGGTAAACATCAATGCCAAAGATCATGAAAGGACGCTTCTTGAAATCCACAAAGGCAGCATCCTCTGAATCCTTTGGGATGATTTGCCACAAGGGCCCGCAAAACTTCGCGTTGATCTGCTGGACCACCTTGTGGAGGATGGAGCCGATGGATTGGCGCTTGCGGATGGTGTCGCTGCGAACGACCTGCGAGATGCAGGGATACTGCTCGCATGCCAGGTACTTGAAGGAATGGTACACCTTCCTCACGTCCTTGTTCGGGATGAGCAGCATCATCAGCTGGGTGCTCGGGGTAATGTTGTCGATGATCTTTGACTGCAGTTCCCCGTGCTGGTCACTGCAGCAAACCCTTGTCGGCTCCTCCAGCTTACAGCCGAATGCAACCCTCGCAACATCTCGCAGCGACCGCAACCAAATTTCCAACACTGGCTCATCCGTCTGCGGATAGAACAATAGCCAATGATCGATTGTGACAGGACACTGAACGCCGTTCCGCAAAGACCGAGCAAAGCTACCTTCCTCAATAGCATAGATCTTCTTTTCATTGAAACCCACCTGCAAAGTCTCTAGCTGCTTTGCTTCCACCTCGAGAGTCTCTGTGGGTGGTCCCAACTGACAGCCCCAGGCCTTTAGCGCTTCAGGCAATTCATTCTCCATTTCCGTGCCGTGTCTGACGATGACATTGTGCCTCTCCTGCGGTGAGACTTTGATCTGCTTCAAGACCTCACTTAGGGGACTCTTCTCCTGGCGCATCTCGTCTGTCACACCCGTAGGACAGCAAAACTCTGGCAGCAAGAACACTTGCTCCTTGGCCTTTTCTGGATAAGCTTCCAAGAGCGGCTGGCCCTTGAAGGTTACAGACTTCTCGTAGAAGGTTTCCAAATACTTCGCAAAAGTAATTTCGACAAACTTCTCCCCGTCACTCCCTCCTCGCAGATGATACGTGAAGGTGCTGGAAGGATTCATGTCGAAATGCACTTGCTTTATCCTATACACGCGGAAGTTGTAGTTTGTCACAACGGTGGAGGACACACAGAATCGCAGCCATTCGGCCCTGATTTCCGGAAATGGCTGAAAGATATCTGTGCCTTCCATTGCACCTTTCATGACTTCCACAATGTTCTTGGCACTGGCCGGCTTGTGCAAGACGTCCAGTTGCAGTAAGGGCCCAGCACTGCCCAGCCTGGGAAGATTCACGCAAAATGCGCTGATTACACTGTGGTGTCCCTTGACCTGTTGGCAGTCGTTCTTGTAAAAGCGCTTGCCGACCCTCTGTATTCGGCGTTGCCCCCCTAGCTGGTCAGCAATGTACTGCCCTACCACAGAAGCCGGGCCCATCTGCCCTTCTTGGATCTTCTGGGCAGAGATTTCGGCCACATGGCAAACATCCAGTTGCACGAGCTTGCCGTTCTCGTCGCATACCTTCAAAGGAAACTTCTCCACCTTGGTGGGAGAAAAGATGCGGCCAGGCAGCCAAATCACAAAATGAACTAAATGCTTCTTCATGTCGGCCCATCCCCTCTCAAGCAGCTTCCGCTCATCAGCTGCGGAGGTCTGCGGATCAGGAAGATCATACTCATACTGGTGGATGCTGTTGGTCCAGCTCATCCGAAAAAGATTGACCCTTACCGGGAAGGTTTTCTCGGGATTCCTTCCGTTCGCATCTTTGGGCATCTCTCGTGCAGCTGTGATGCCATCTTGCTGTATGGGAAACCATTTGTCTTGGTACATTGCCACTCTGCAGCCCCGCAGAGATTCCGAGATCTGCTGCGAGGCTACATGATAGGGCTGCGAACCGCAGCATTGAGCCACGCGGCTAGAGCAGCACATGAAATTCGCAGCCTTTGCCGGACAAAACTCTACATCTTGCGAGGCCTTGCCTGTGTCTGAGGAATCTCAAACCAAAACTTCAGGTCAGGGGTCCTGGGCATAAAACCCGACACACAGCCATCTGACAATGCAGTGATACCCGACCGAGACTAGGGATCCATTATCAGTTTCTTGGCAAATACTACGCGATTATTCTCCGAGGGCAGGGGGCCGAAATCAAAGCAATAAGATCCAAATTTCTCCCTAACATGTCGAATCCAGACCCAGACCATGCTTCAGTTGCGGCCATCAGTCGGGCACAGGCTCGTGCCTTCGGGACTCCCGAGGACGGCGCACACGACGTAGGTGAGCACTCCTGCCAAATATTGTGTTTAATCGACACAGCACAGGTTGATTTTCCAGATAGGAGAAAATGATGTGGCAACATACAGTATGTTGCTCCAGCACAACATGTGGACGAAGTCATGAGCATGCCACTGGACTTCGCAGCAGCAACTGCCGACGCGATCATGCAAAGAAGCCAACCGCAGCTCTGTACCATTCTTCATTATGGCTCTTCTGTGGGGACCTCGTGAGAGGGAGGCAACAGAAAAGGAAGAGGTGTTCACCATAAGGTTCAGGTGGTCAGCCCGTGGCTTCTACAGACGGTAAGAAGGCTGCAACCCTGATGATTTTGCCAGAACCAAAGCACCTCGGCTGTTCTACTGACCAAACCCGGGCACTTGTCATCTGATCCGCTCTAGTCCATCTTGCAGCCAGAAAGCAAGTAAATTTCATGGCACAGAATGCATTGTCAAGATTGAAAGCTATGGTCTCTCTGTTCTACCTCTTAGACAATGGAGCAACACCTTCATCTTTCTAGGTCCCCACTTGGCCCCTCCGTCATGAAACTCGGTGCAGCATTTGGCATTTACGGTTTAAAGCTTACCGGCCAAACAATTTGCGTATGCTGGGGAGTAAGTAGTCGACAAAAGCTACGGGCGGACCTGCCAGCTGTGTTGGGATCAGCATGAACCACCGCACGTTCAGGAAGAAGTGCGCAGCCGTCAGCAACGAAATCCACGAGAGCATGAGCCTGCGGGCGTCTTGTTGGCAGGGGCTCATGGCTCCCGCATCGCAAGCCACAGCACGGCAGGCATGAGCCGGTATGAGCCTAGTGCTTTGAAGCTTTTCGTCAGCAGCGGCAAGCCCTACCAGTGCGAACTGCCAGGCAAACGTTTCCGCGCAATCGCGGAATGCTTCGCGCCTGGAATCTGAGGAATAGTTGTAACAGTCCGGGTTGTCCGGGCTCATGAAAAATTCTTCGTCGAGCCGATACATCCTGGACACATAGTGGTGGTCAATGTGCGGCACAGCCTTAGTGAAGCCAGTTGCTTGGAAACCCTGCAAAAAAAGACTGCACAAAGTCACAAGGTGGAAAGGCCTCGAACTTGCAGGAAATGGACCTCAAAAGTCTCAAAATTACCTGAAAAGTTGAAACAAGCAGCGAAGATGATCACCGGGACCATGAAAGCTATGCACCTCTCGAGGCTTCTCGCCGAGGCCGAGAGGCACTGTACCAGACCCAGGGTCGCCTCAAAGCACGAGGAAAGGCGCGCTCAAAAGCTCCTGGTCCTCTTTTTCTCCGTAGTTTGGGGAGCTTCTAGTGCCCGGTCTCTCACGTTGAGTAGTCCTATAGAGTCATGGAGTCCTCGACTCTGCTAGACTGTACCTCTCGGAGCTCCAAAGACATTGCTCTGGAATTTGGGATTCGGCTTGGCAGCTTCGGTCCCGATGTGCTTCCTATGTCCCATGCGAGGTATGCTGCAACCATGGTCTATTGCAAAGATGCTGCTCGAGTCTGCACATGCTACATTGGGTGCAAGAGCTCAGCGACAACTTGCAAGGTCTACACTCAACAAGCCCTGCAACAACCTCGCATGCGCACGAGAGCGACCACACACACACACACACACACACACATACGCGCACACATACAATCACACACACACACACACTTTGAATTTCAATGTGCGTTCGGATTGACCCCCGACAGATTCACACAGGCGTCATGCCTAGGCCTAGGCCCAAGTAGGAAAACTAAACTGGCTGTCCCCATGCCCTGGAAAATGGAACCTAGACCTCGGACGAGTGGCTACCACGACCAAAGCCAGGAGAAGTACACCGCTGCATGTGACGCGGTGGATGAGCACCTCCCTCAGACCTTGGTCGGATTGAAGCCTCCTGGATTTCGCTCAGGGCCCTGGGCTTTGAAAAAAACCACGCTCTCCTAAACCCAAAGCTGAAACCTCAGTGTGCCCCATTGCTGCTGAGAGGCCTGGAATGGCAAGGTCGCCGGCCAAGAAAGACTGAGTCAAATATGCACTCTGAACCAGCAGCAGTATGGCAAGCCTCAGAGTAGGAAATTGCAAATGGCTCATGCTCACCTTCGGCAGGAGCTCCCACGATCCTCAACACCTATGAATTCTATAAAGAGTTGCAAATGCCTCCCTGCAAAGGAGAAGCTATGCTTCCCCATTGGGGTATACATGCCAGCTCAGGAGGGGAGGTGAGGGGAGGGGAGGGGAGGGAGGGAGGGACACCTGGGGTCCGGTCTGCTCCAGCCTGGCTCGAGCAACATTTGGGTGACTCAATTTATAGGGAGGCGCACGCACCGCACCTTTGCCGAATTGCGAGTGGAGACTGAGAACGGAAGGAGGAAGGGGAAGAGGCAAGCGAAGAGAGAGACAAAGAGAGATCTATGCACAGTGCACATAACTTACTAGCTATGTCGATGCATCTCTGTGTGTCACTGTGCGCGAATGAACAAGCAGGTGACAATGTATGCAACGTGTATGCACATATGGATTGGTTTTTCATAGGTGTGCAAACGGTCATGTGCTGCGTGACTCTGTGTGTGACTGAACGAGCAAAACCCACACACACACAGACACAACGACACGTGCGCTGCTCCATGTCAAGTTGTGGAATGCATTGCAATGTCCAGTGGCTAGTTACGGCTGGCGGCTGCAATTCCTTGCTGCAGAAGCTCTGCAGCAACTGGCACAGCCGAGAGAGTCTCAAAGCTACTGCCAAGGCGCACCAGGGAAGACCGAATCATAGCCTTCAGCATGCCTTCTCTTCGAGCTTCCAGGAACGCCCTCAAGAATGACAGGGCAAAAGTGGGCCAAGGAGGTGGGTTCGGGAGAAGAGCTAGTCAGCAGCCAATCATTGCCTCTTGGTGCCGGCTTCAGAGGACCCCTTTTTAGATTGAGCTAACCCCGTCTGTGGCATCTGGTCTTCACAAAGACAAGACTGGCCGTGGACAGTCTCTGAGGCGCAGGCTCCTCCATAGCATCTTGCTGGAATGCCAGCGAGAAGAAATAAGTGGCGTTGGTTGCTGACGTATCCTGAACTTCGTCATGGATTGGGGGCGCACGGGGAAGCACAGCCTCGTCACTGCTCCCTCGCCCTGTAGCTTGTTTTTACTTGGTAGCCAAGCCAGCAGAGAGCAATGCAGCAAAGGTGCATCAAGTAAGGGGCTTGCCAGCTACAGCATATCTGACATGTCTGAAACGCACTGCAGCCGAAGGGCCGTCATCTCCCCCGCAACGTCCGAGACTGCAGCTTCGATCCTCAAAAACACACAGACAACGACATGAACAGACTCCAGCAGGGCGACCTTGGAAGGTCATATTCTCGGAGTCTTGTTGCAATGCTTTCGCTTTACAATGGAGCCTGTGAAACTTCTGCGAAGCGGAGCCTCTTTGCTCAGGATTTCTCTTTGCAGCCAGGGATCGAATCGGTGAAACAGGGCACTACATCCGGTTTGTCCGGACGAGCATGGCTGAACCGTGTTGACACGTACCAGCCAGGTCCAACGTAAGATTTGAGTTTGTCGGCTGAAGCACATGTCCGTTTGGACGCATGGGGTTTGGGTGCAAGTGTCATGTTCCGGACTGCATGAGATTGAAACCAGCAGTCTTTGCCGCATGCTATGAGCCGTATCTCGGGGCAGGCAGGTCAGGAGACCGTTCCCATTCAGCCCCGCTCGAGTCCAGATGCCAAACTTGGAATAAACCGGACGAATCTGAGCCTGGGACTTCTCTCACCGAGTAGTGCCAGCTGGCCTACCACGGTTGGCCCAACTGTTCTAAAGGACCACAGCTCATCGGCAAAGAGTGCTGAGCTCGCAGCCAGGACAATGGAGACGAGAAGCTTTAGAGCTTCGCCTGCAAACCTCAAACTCATGGACATGCCATGTATACCTCGTAGAATACCGCTTTCACAGCTTTGCAGGCTCACCGTTCAGAAGGGTTCAAGAAATGCCGGTGCCACAACGACACGAATGAACCAAACAAGAAGGAGCTGGGTCTCTAGAAGAGCCCAACTCGCAGCCAGGACAATGGAGACGAGAAGCTTTAGGGCTTCGCCTGCAAACCTCAAACTCATGGACATGCCATGTATACCTCGTAGAATACCGCTTTCACAGCTTTGCAGGCTCACCGTTCAGAAGGGTTCAAGAAATGCCGGTGCCACCAAAGACACGAATGAACCAAACAAGAAGGAGCTGGGTCTCTAGAAGAGCCCAACTCCCGAGCAACACAAGCAAATCCCAACAACAGGTGCCTGAAGCCTATAGCCACGGCTGAGGCACGTGCACGGCTGTTGTGACCAGGTAAAGCTCCCGGGCCTGCAGCCACCAAGGGTCACAAGCCAGCCTGAGAAACACCTTCCCTCGGAATCACCTACATCTCGGCCTCCCCTTGTGGCTTGGGCAGCCTGGAGTAGCGCATGCACAGCGCCAAAGCCTTCAACTGCGCAAAGCTTTAAGACCTGCTAGCATACAGAGCCGAATCTGGTCCGGCTTAACACAAGTTTGAGTAAGCCGAACTAGGAAAAAACGAAGGCCCATCAAAATTGAATCCCGTCTCAAAATGCATCCGGTGCCTTCCCGACACCCCGGGTCTGAGATTTGAGAGGAGTTTACCCCCCGTTAGTCTGGCAGGCCTGCGTGTGGCTAAATGGGCTGCAGGGTAGTGATAGGTTTTGGATCTTATAAGAGTCTAGAATGCGGAAGGAATTCGGTAGTTCCGACCGGTCGCAACACATGCCGCATAACTGAAGAAACTGAAACATATTCGACTTTCTCTGGGTGCAGGACCGTGTTCTGAAAGACCACCTCAGGAAGAAATGCCGTGAGCCGGACACTGCTTCTGCGATTTAGTACATCCCGACTTGACACGCTGCTGCCTACAGACACTGCCATAGAAATCTTGGAATCAAAATCACACGGTAGTAGTGAACCGGTGGGCAGCTCTCGGTCTCTCACCGGCCCCCAGCCCCGAAACAACATTATGTTCTATTATATTACATTCCATAAGTCTGACATCTCTGAAGCTTTCGATGCCCACAGGCGAGATGCACGGGTCTTGACCCTCTGCTTCCACTACGACACTACGCACGTGCAAGACTAAGCTCGATCTCTGGAAAATCCCTGTGCCCGCCGTCGTCAGCGAAGCCCGTCGGAGCCAGAATGAAGTCTCGTTCCCCATTTGGGGTGAAGGACGACCTGCAAGCACTACATCGTCGACAAATTTGCTGACTGCCGCGGTGCTTTTCTTTCCATTCAGTATAGCATCCGGGACACTGACAAAGAATTGGAAATGTAGCTGTGGTTGCACAAGCACTGGAGTAGCAGGGCCTACAAAGTGTCACAGGCCAGCACTGGACGCTCACTGACTAAACATCCGGCCGAAAGCACGAGATCCCTGCGTGACTGCATGTCATGACGTGAGCTAGCAAACGCAAGCCATGTCGCGGACTCCAACCCCCAAGCACCCTACCTTGGTCTCGACCAGTCACCTCCTGCAGCTCCGTTGCCTGCAACCGACGTGGCTGATGCATGCTCAAAGCTCTGAGCCTCTGGGACAGGGTGGTTCATGACGAGCAGGGGTTGGTCAGCAGATGTGGCGACCCCATGCAACTTCTGCAGTTCTGCATGGCCTCCGTGCATTTTGAGTCCATCCCAGTCTGCAGGCAAACATGTCTCCTGCTAAAATCCGTGAGCGAAGGTGGCGGCGGCAAGAATCAATGAGATGGCGGCCATGGGCAGATCCCAAGATCTCACTCACGTGACGGCCTAGCATGCCAGAGCAAGCCAGCACACACTGTGCAATGATCAAACCTTGCTGGCTTTTCATTCACAACACCTGGAGTAGCCGCGATTGCTGACGACTTACTGTGGTACCTTTCTGCAGGTACGAGCATGAACAGCAGCCGGCTGAGGAGCTTTGGTCTATGCAACTTGAAATTATCCCGAGATAATGGTGGCAAGCTCAAACCAAGAAGCCGCAGCCCTTGAACAATGGCTGCCAGATCTCGTTATGTATGTATGCATATATGCACACACGCACGCACATCTACCTCTATATATATATGTATGTATGTATGTATGTATGTACATATATACATATATACACGTATAATCATATATATATATATGTGATATATGACGTGTATATATATATATACATATATCGTTATATACTTATTTATCTATGCGTACACATGATGTACAAATTGTTCATACATGTTTCTATATACTATATACATATGTATGTATCTGTGTTTGGGGAGAGCGAGCGAGAGAGAGAGAGAGAGAGAGAGAGAGAGGCAGACACAGACAGACAGACAGACAGACAGAGAGACAGACAGACAGAGAAGGAGCGAGCGAGCGAGGGCTTGTCCTTAAATACGGAATGTTTCAAAGACTCCCCGCGCGTCGTGTCGCCGAGCCGGCCTTTCATTAACGCGCTACTCAGGGTCCAGTTCCTCACCTTCCCAAGGTCTCTTGACGGCTTAAGTATGACACTGTAGGAAATGATTCAGAATATGATAATATGTTTAGATTGTTATGACATGTTATGACGTGGGTCGCCGCACGCATTGACTGCGCTGATATCAACTTGTGTGATTGGCTGAGCCGGGGGTAGTTATCTCCCCAAGCGTTGCTTGCATTTCGCAAGAAAGTGGGGTGCTGGGCCCTGACAGCTGCCTCCCTGAGGATGGGTCTCCGGGCACACCGAGGGCACGGCAGCGCCCTTACAATGCCTTACAATAGCTTGACTCGCCGAATCACTGGGAACCTCATGTGTGTCCCGGAAGGCTGCAGGAAGCGGTGCAGGGGACGCCAGCAGGTCTCTCAGCCGTAAAGTTTCGGGACTTCACACACCGCAAAAAGTTTCGCATGCAGAACCTCGATGAATGCGACTGTCTTGCCCAAAAAATGTGATAGTTGAAGATTTGCGGTGAGAGCTCTGCCAATTTCTATCTGCGACAATGTGCCCCCGCAGCCCGTGTCTTAACTTTGGGAACGCGGGTGAAACATGCCCCCAAGCAGAAAAAATGTTCTCAGAAAGCCACCGCGACTGCCACACCACCAGCAGCAAAGCCAGCCCTTCGCTGCAAAAGCGTTTCTCCTGTGAGGTTCGAGTGGCCACACGGCAACCGTTCGGATTCTCTACAGGCCTTTGGGTTCTCTACAGGCCCGGAAGAGCCATTTGCTGGATCCGGGATCCTCCCGCTTTTGGGGTGGACCGATTGTCTATGTATACTACGGACCCCCCAAGTGTCCATGTGTCACAACAACTCTTGAAAGCTGATTTCTTCTTTGGCTCAAGTCGGACATGGACGGCTGTGAGGGGACACCGGAAGGCTGACGAAGAGCGCACTGTAGTTCTGCATGGATTCTGCGGCTGGCGAGCTGCTAGAATTATCGTCTCTCTTCGGCATGCAACATGGGGGTTGTTCTTTATTATGGCTGCAGCCTGTAACTCGAAAATTCCCTTTCGCTTCGCCCTTGCGCGCCGTGCCGTGTTTGGAGCAGGTCCCAAACCTGAATCAAACTATTAATGTGCGCTGTTAGTCTACGGTCAAGAGCCGGGGGTTTAGAACAACTCTGTACATCACTGCGTGTCACACGCAGCATCTGGTCGCCTCATTTCGCGAATCCTGCGGCACACAGGGCGCCAATTTCCCAATCAATGCTCCACTCATGCCGTCGGGTGCTAAAGTGCCAGTTGTGTCTTAGGCAGAATAATTAATCCAACAGTTTACTAATGCAAAACGAGAAGTGCTCGCGCACGGCACGACTTCAGCCGGGCCTTTCATTGTCAGTCTCTCATCTTCCGGCACATAGCCGACACACTACCAAAAACTCATGGTCCTCTGAGGTAAGCCCTCCTTCTCCTTGCCCTTCTGGCGTTCTGCAACAGCCTTACTCTCAAGCATGGAAGCTTTTCGAGTGGATGTTTAACACGGGCATGGCACATTCATGGACACGTTAGGAGCGCGACGTGCTTGGCTATTGCAATAGAGCCAGATCTCTCCTTGCAACTTGCAACAGAACCCGAAGCGCAAGGCGCACAATATCACAGGGCTGCACAAGCTTACATGTTGCTAGAAGCATCCGAGAACTACTGCTTTACATGCCCGTCTTATAGATGCATGTTCTGAAACCCCAAAGTTCCCAGACATCGCTGAGTTTGCTCAGCTTTCGAAACCGCTTCGCAGGACGCTTCCGTGGTCAAATACTGATCTCAAGCGTGAAACCTCAAGATTCAAACATCTATGAGGGCTCGACTCTTGACATCAAGCTGAAGGTCCTACTACAACCTTTCAGGGATACCGAAAACGCCTGAATCGGTCCTCTTTTCTGCCTTGCCCGGGCTCCACGGATTGGCTCCTGGATTGCTGTCCGTACTGCAAGCTCATGCTCCCGAAACAGTGATAGAGCACCACAGCAACCACGGCGACAGGAGACATGGGAGATCGGAAGACTCGGGCTTTTGGGCCCCAAGTGCGTGACTTCTTGCCACCAGGACACGCGCGGACGTAATGGCTAGGACGTCGACGCCATGTCCCTTCCTCCTGCTGCTGTTTCAGAATACACTGTGAAGGTCAGAGGCAGGCAGGATTCGTGTGTTGCGACTTTGGTGCAGGATCGGATCGCGACACGAGCTCACTTCGGCACGCCATGGCCCATTATCTGCCTTCTGATCAAGGAGAAGGACTTTCAGGCAGACCCCCCTTGCGTCCTCAGCCAAGTCGTCCACTCCCCTCACAGGCATTCGAGCGCTATGGAGATGCACGAGTTGCATGAACGGCTCAGGGACGGGACGGGGCATCAAGCACACACAGACACAGACACACACACACACACACACCCCGGTTTCAAACAATGAAGACTGCTCTCAACAAGCACGACACAACTGAGGTCGGCGGGCAGACATGGCATGGACATGGCTGGAATCTCTTCCATCGACATAGATTGATTTCAAGCCCCCAACGGATGTCGAAAATGATGTTGGGCACGTGACTTTGAGAGCCAAAACCGTTCCAAAAAGAACGCCGCGAAAAGAAGATTAAGCATCCATTGGCATCCATTCTAGATCTGCTGTGAATATCAGTAGAAGCGAGATGTCAAAGTCCTGCCTGCGCAGATTGACCGTAGAAGACCTCGCACCCGACTCGCCGCCTTCCCTGCAGGAAAAGCAAATTGTAGAGCAGCCGGCTTTGTCAGAACAAGGCTTGTGTGTACGTGCATGACTTATACGTTCAGTCATTTAGTTTGTGATTCCAGGATACACTTTCCGTCCCTCGCTCTCCTCGGCCCAAACCTCGCTAACAAGGGATCTAGCTGGAGATCGCGCAGGCTCAGATATGAAAGCTTCGCTTGAAAACTCTCTGTCGCTCTCTCAATCTTACTCTTCCTCGTCTTCTTCTGAGTCTCAGTTGTTTTCTCTCCACAAGATTCATTCGGTGGGACGACTACGTCCACCCGGTCTCACTCAGGTATTTGCATATAGGGAACAATCACTCAGACTCTCTTGCTCTCCGGCCGACTCGTTGTGTTGTGATGCCTGCACGTGCACACTCTCGCATGGTGGCGGCAGGCCTCTGCAGCAGTCGCCTTTGCCCCTGCCGCTGGACTTTGTGCCGGTCCTGCGCAGCAAGCGAACGCAAACAGTCATTCGGGGCTCCTGACCTGGCTGTTGGCACCCTTGGCAAAGTCAGCGTTCACGCCATATTCGAAGCAATGAACCGGCGTCGCAAGACCCTGAGCCCAATGAGATTGGGCCTGGCCCGTGAATTGCCGATGCAACAGCGATTTTCACGGCAAGTCAATTCAGTGTCGCATGCATACTTGGCCACGCAAACAAAGGGGTACACATGCGCATGTTCACATTGACGTGGGAGGCTTGTGTTTGGTCGTGGTCTGCGGACAAAAAGCATTAAAAGCATCACGGTTGTTTTGCGATGAAGGCAGTAGATGGCGGCTTCAGGAACTGAAGACTTGTTTGAAAATAATGTTCATTGCTGAAGCGTGGCCAAAACCGGCTACAACAAGTCAACAAGCACTATATATTGCTATTGACAGTCCTTCTGCTTAGCCAGCTTGGGCTCATGCCCACCATCATTAACCTTGGCCATGATTGTTCAAACAGCTGTGACAAGAGCTCTGGCGTGGTGCAAACCGAGTCAAACCGAGTGGAGGCAGAATGAAATGTTCAGCGTGCGGTCGAGCAGCTGTGGCTGTTCACTTGCAAGGACAAAAATCTCCGAAACTCTTTCTGCCAACTAACCCCAGCTCGTTTCTCCAGCCTTGTTTCACACTACTCCCCTGCCATTTTGTCGGACCTTGCAACTCTGCTCAGGATCTCATGCTGCTATCGGCTCAGGCTCAGAGTCGAGAGGCCAGATGGCAGTCCTGGGCTCGGGCTCTGGAGCTCCGTCTCTTTTGGAAGTGGCCGTTTTTGCCGCCAGAGAGCTCCCTCTAGGGCCCTGGAGCCCTAGGATGCCTGGGCTTTAGGGTTTAGGGGTTTAGGGCTCTTCCTTCCTGGCATCGGCTTCCCTGACAAGGATCTCTTTGGACCGCAGCTTTCCGTAGAAGATGCACACCTTCAGCCGGCGCTACATCAGATTGCGGCTGTTTGTTTTCCACTTTCCCAAAGCGCCTTCTCACAGTGGCTTTTGTGCTCCGAAGGCTCGCAGAGATCACGGAGCTCCTCCTGAGCTTTGAATGAGGCGCCGGAATTCAGCCTTCCTGAGCCGAAGTCATGACAAACAGTCGGCCAAGTCTCGAAGATGCCCACCAAGGACGGATGCAGGCCTCGGGATATCGAGCCGGGCTGCCAGCATAGTTCCAGACGTCTTGTCAAAAAAGCAATCAGGGTCTCAAAGTCGCCCCAGCTCACCGGACCGGAGAGCTTTGCCAATCCCCGGCTTGGGCAACTCGTGAAAAGCGGCCGAGGAACATGGAAGGAGCGTCCTGGCTGCGGCAAGCCTGGGAGGTGCACTAAGCGTGGGCGTAACCCAATAATCCAAAAGGCATGCACACCAGCACAGTAATTCGCCTACGACTGTAAACACGCAATCCATGCTATACTATACCGATCAAGAGGTACAAGTCACTTCTGGCCACCTCCCACTCACACAGATTCTTTGTCAGTCTTGTATCTGAAAGGGTTTCAGTTTCAGGGTTTCAGATACTTGCAGAATTGCGCCAAGTATGAAGGTAGCCGGGCTACACAAACTAGGTCTGGAGGCCACGAGAGCGCAAGAGGGCTTCAGGCTTCAGTTCGCTTGGTGCGACAAGCCCAAACATGACGTCCTACAAAGTCGCACGCCCCACCTTTTCACAGCCAACTGAACACACCCGCCGACAGGATCTCTGATGGAAAGCTGTAAACTGACACGTGGTCGTAGATGAGCCCTCTGCACACGAGATGAACCACATGGCATCCCTTACACAACAGTTCCGCTTCCAGCAGGACGTTTCTTTTTGTATCCGGCCTTGGGAAGTAGAACCTCCCACAGAGTTGCCGAGCTGCTGTGCCCCAAACAGCTGCTTGCGCTGTGCCAGGGAAAGGCCGGGTCGATGAAGCACCTGGGAAGGCAAGAACGGAGGAGATGGCAAGCGTCGAATCTGAACAGTGTTCCAATCACATGAAGCAACAGTCGTAAGAATTCAGTATTTCACGTGAATCATGCAAGGACTGCGCTGAGTATAGCTGCGAGGTCAAACGGTTGTTCCTCGAATTCAAGGAGCTTCCCAGTTCCTTGAAAACAACACAGCTGTCATTACAACGTGCAAGTGCTATGGGTTTTCGTTTTCGTGGGAACGGTGAGGGAGAGCCAAAGCAGTACTTCAACAAAAGCCGGCGCTACTGCACCAGCCGCCTTACCTGCATGAGAACACACAACTGCAACGAGAACGTCACGGTCGACATTGCCGCGAAACGATTGCAATGCATTTTTTCCATCCATAGCACGACAACTGCGGTGCAAGGACATGGACCATATCTTCACCATCATCATGGAATCATCATCATCATCAACAACATCAACATCACCATTCTCGTGGCTATCACCACCGCGATGTAGCAGCGAAAAGTTCCCAAGTTCCCATGTCAATTTGGATCAGAGGCGCAGCTTGGCGTGCTCGAAACAAACGCCTGCAGCCCTCGCCTTCCTGGGCCAAGGGCCCGGCGGCTTCGTGCCCAATACAAAGGCGTCCTATCTACCCAGGTATCTATCTATCTACTTATCTACGATCTAATCGGTCTAAACAATCTGGTATGTTTATATACATATACATATGTGTATGTATGTATATATATATATATGTGTACCGACTCAATCTTCTCTATCTGTTCTACCTATCTTATCTATCCGTCGACCCGTCTATCTGTCAAATACATAGCTAGACAGATGGATGCATGATGGATAGATAGGTGATGTGGGTATATATATATATGTAACAATACAGACAGAGAGCAAGTGGATAAATAGATAGATAGATAGATAAGTAGCGAGCGAGAGGGAGAGAGAGAGGAAGAGAGAGAGAGAGAGAGACAGAGAGAGAGAGAGAGAGCGAGAGAGAGAGAGACAGAGAGAGGGGGAGAGAGAGAGAGAGAGAGAAACAAAAGAGAGAGAGAGAGAGAGCGAGAGAGAGAAAGAGAGAGGGAGAGAGAGGACGGGTGGGACCGACAGATACACAAATAGCTAGAACAACAAGTCCCACCGACACCTGTAATGGAATGCTGCCATTTGTGGTTGTGCTGCCGGCCCCTCTACTCTTCCGTGCAAAGTTGTGCGGAACAGTTCTTGCATATTGGGCTTGTGCATCGGCAACGCAATACGGGTATAGAATGGAATGCTTTGGCCTCGCCACGGCTGTTACAGGATGGGCTATCGTACACAGGCAGAAATTCCAACATCGGTTGCTAATTTGCGGGCAATGCTCAAACCCAAGCATACATTACATAATCAACATTCGGGGGACAAGTCTAGTCGGCCTCCACCTGCTGCAGCAAACTGTCCAGCGGCTCCTGGGACACTAGTGGCAAGGAGCTTGGAATGCATCCTGGGCTATGTGGGCAAGATTAATGAGCGAGTTTAACCACCTTGCAAAATCTGAAGAACAACTAACTGTAATTATGCTGAATCCTGAAATGGACTCTTGTCGAGCAAAATGCACAGACACACACATCTCTCTCTCACACAAAGCTGATTGAAAATGACGAGGACTGCTCATCTGCGCGCTGGAAACAATCCGTGCGCATACTGTGTATCCGCTTTTTCGGAGTACCGTACCAATGTCTATCCGCTTTCGGACATGCCTACACCATGCACGTGCCGGTGACAAGAGTGTGGAAATGCAGCAACAAAATTGGATCGAGTTGGGTCCTCCGCTTCTGCCTCCCTCTGCTCGTCCAGATGTTCCTCCTGCAGATTGGTACTAGTAGCAGCTTCGGAGCTTACCCGAACAGTCCGGTGCATAATGTCTACTAGCGTCGATCTCTGTCTGTGTGTGCGCGTTCGTGCGTGCGTGTGCCTATGTACACGTTCACGGATGTATGCAAATGTATGTATGTATGTATGTATGTATGTATATATATATACATACATACATACATTTACTGTACTTTTCTGCGTGTGTGTATATATATACATACATACATACATACATACATACATACATACATACATACAGTACATACATACATATATATATATAGATAGAGAGAGGGAGAGAGACATACATACATACATACATACATACATACATACGTACATACATACATACATACATACATACAATTACATTACATTACGTTACATTACATTACATTACGTTACATTACGTTACATTACATTACATTACATACATACATACATACATACATACATACATACATACACACATACACACACACATATACATATATATATATATATATGTATATATATATATACATACATGTGTGCGGGTGT